AAAAAAAAAAAAAAAAAGAAAGATAACCTTGTAGCACATTTCTTTTTACTTAACATTATTCAAAGGACTCTGTAAATGTGAGAATCCAAATTTATCATTTTTGGTGGGGCTCAGTGGCTCACACCTGTAATCCCAGCACTTTGGGAGGCTGAGTCGGGCAGATCATTTGAGGTCAGGAGTTCCATACCAGCCTGGTCAACATAGTGTACCTCGTCTCTACTAAAAACACAAACATTAGCTGGGCATGGTGGTACACACCTATAGTCCCAGCTACTCAGGAAGCTGAGGCAGGAGAATTGCTTGTGCCTGGGAGGTGGAGGTTGCAATCGTGCCGCTGCTCTCCAGCCTGGGCAACAGCAAGACTCTGTGTCAAAAAAACCAACCACCCCCCCAAAAAAAAACACCCAAATGTATGTTTTTTTTGTTTCTTTGATGACCATCTTATTTTACTCTGACCACACCCACACACACATATACACACAGTGTTTAAAATAGTTGCTCATTAAATGCAGTGTAACATCTTATAGCTCTTACATAAACATGTTAAAGAACAAAGATAAAACATATAACATGTATAACCCACATTATATGTAGCCATCAGTATCTGGTTTTAAAATAAGCAAGATTTGAATAGGCACCTCATGGAAAGAGGAAAATTGAATGGCCAACAAATATATAAAATGTTCCCATTCTCATTAGTAATTAGGGAAATGCAAATGAAAACCAAATTGAGATACTATTTTACCTTTACCAGCCTGGCAGAAATTATTGGGTGCTGGTAAAGTGTGGCGCCAAGGGAACGCTGAGACGCTGCTGGTGGGAGTCAGTTGTCACTGCTAGTGTGCAAAATCATTTGACCGTATCTAGTGAAGCTGAAGAGGTGCATATCCTACAGCCCAGCAAATCCACTTCTAGGAATATTCTCACCCTTTAATAGACACATGAGTCACCTAAGGGTCTTGATAAAATGTAGATTCTGATACAATAGGTCTGGGGCCCCAGGTGATGCTGCTGCTGCCTTGGTCCAGGGACCACATTTTGAGAAGCAAGGCTCTCAAGAAACTCTTGCAAATATGCACCAACGGATATGTGTAAAAAAGGCCAGGTGCAGTGGCTCAGCCTGTAATCCTAGCACTTTGGGAAGCCATGGCGGGCGGATCACCTGAGGTCAGGGGTTTGAGATCAGCCTGGTCAAAATGGAGAAACCCTGTCTCTACTAAAAATACAAAAAGTAGCCAGTCATGGTGGCTCATGCCTGTAATCCCAGCTACTCAGAAGGCTAAGGCAGAAGAAT